AGGAGTGTTTAATGGGGACAGAGTGTCAGTTTGGGAAGAAGTAGTTCTGGAGAGGGATGGTGGCGAGGGCTGCACAACAGGGTGAATGTGCTTCCTGCCACCGAACTGAACCATCATGAATGGTTAAAGTGGTAAATTGTATGTATATTTTACTACAGTAAAAAAAGAAAAAGCGAAGAGCAGCACAAAGAGCCATGCTAGAAAGGGGGTGCCTCTGCTTTGGGGCCCCTCTCTAGGACACCAATTTTATCCCCAAACAGCCTTTTGGAGAAATTCTCCCTTTCAGGACATTATCTCCTGTGACCGCGGTGTAAAAAAATGCTAAATCCAGGAAATAGGACCTCTCCTCCCCTGAATTCCTGCAGCCTCTTTGTTCCTTCCAGGATCTGAAGGGCTGAGGGGAGAATTCAAGAAGCTCCGTATTACTTGACGCAGAATTCACCTTCCTTTCGTATGATGCTGTCTAGGAGGCAAAATGCTTTCACGTACACACGTTCACTTCACTGATCATGTGAGGGAAGCAGGGCAGGTCTTCCCATTTCCAGGGGAGGAAACAGGCCTGGATGTTTTAAATGATGCATCCAGGTTATCGGGCTGGCAAAGCCCTGCCTCCGGCTTAATGAGCTGCCTCAGATCTGACTACGGCCAAGTCACCCCCAAGACAAGGTAGGTTCTTGGGGTGTGTCTAGCTGGCTCTGCCCTTATCTGGTCCAAGACAAGTTTCTAGAGCCATTCTAGAGAGTGACATTTGGAGAGGGTTGCCTCATACTTCTGTTTCACGGCCAATTCAGGAATTGTGACTGTATGGGTCACTTTTGTATTTTGGCAGGTGACAGCTGCTTTAAAAGATGTATTGCAATTGCACAAAAGTATATTACAAAAGAATGGGAGAAAATATTTGCAAGTCCTACATCTGATAAGGACTTGATTCCAGGATCTATAAAAGACTCTTACAACAATGAAAAGACAACCAAATTTTAAAAGAGCAGAGGTTCTGAATAGCCATTTCTCCAAAGAAGATACACAAATGGCCAGCAAACATATGAAAAGATGCCCAACATCAGGGAAACGCCAACCAAAACCACAGTGAAACAGCACTTCATACGGACTAGCGTGGCTATAATCAAATCGACGATAGCAAACACTGACGGCGATGTGGGGAAACTGAGACCCTCACACACTGCAGGTGGGGAACTGGGGTTGCAGACCCTGTAGAAAACAGCCTGGCAGCTCCTCAGAAACAGCTAAACATGATGTTACCACATGACCCAGCAATTCCACTCCTAGTATTTACCCAAGAGAAATGAAAATACGTGTTTACAGAACTTTTTTTAAGATTTTTAAAAAAATTTATTTATTTGAGAGAGAGAGAAAGAGCAAGAGCAAGGAGGAGAGGCAGAGGGAGAGGGAGAAGCAGACTCCCCACTGAGAAGGGAGCCCGATGTGGGGCTCGATCCCAGGACCCTGAGGTCATGACTTGAGCCGAAGGTGGATGCTTAACGACTGAGCCACACAGGCGCCCTGTTCACAGAAAAACTAGTACACACGTTCACAGCAGCACTATTCACAAGAGCCCCGAAATGCAAACAACCAAATGTCCACTGGATGAATGGATAAATGAAAGTGGTCCATCCACGCGGTGGACTATTACTAAGTCACGGAAAGGCCAAAGTACTGACACCTGCTATGACATGATTGAACCTTGAAGACTTTGTGCTGAGTGAAGAGGGGGCTCAAGAGGGCGCAGGGATGGGGAGTGACTGCTAGACGTGACGGGGTTTATTTTTAGCTGTTGAAAATGTTCTCAAGTTAGATTGTGATGGTTATACAACTCTGTGAATATGGTGTAATTATTGAACTATATAAACGGATGAACCTTCTATGTGAGATAGATCTCCATAAAGGTGCAAAAACAGCATTTTTCTTTTGGAAACATTGGGGGAAATTTCAATGCTATGTATTGGATGGTATTTGGGAGTCATTAATTCTGTCAGGAGTGGTAATAGTAGTATGGGAAGGGTTTTACAAGTCTTTGCTGTAGATGGAAAATGCTTTTCAGGGACATCTGCAAGGTCCAGATTTCCCACCACGCACGATGTTTCCCTCTCCCCCTGTCTCAATGGGAGCCACCAGAGGACCAAATAACTTGAGTGGGAGTCATCCCCCTCCATGGCTAAATACAGGCCAAACCCAGAAAAGATGGTAAACCTTACAGGTTGCTCGTGGGTAAAAAGAAAGGGTATTTCTTATACGGGGTAGCTAAGTGCAAGCCTGCAAGTCAGTGGTCTGTGCGGAGGCCCTGTGGTGGAACCACACGTGGGCAAGGGGGACAGGAAGGATCCTACATCTGAAGAACTGAGTACACCTGCAAATGTGGCTGGGCGCCTTCTGCCAGCCCTGACTCTCCTCGTCTGGAGTTGAGCCTCATCTGCCAGAGGGAAACTGGACTGGGAGAGGTGAGGTAGCATCACAGGCTTGAAAACCTTTTGGGAATGAGTAATATTCAGATTGGTAATTTTGTCACATTTATTCAAGGACCACAGTTGAACAGATACCCAAAGACTTTAAGATTCACCAGTTATATTGTTCAGAAGAGAGAAAACACATACAGGTTCTTCAACACATACCAAACAAAGCTTTCATTTAAGGACGAGTTCCTATCCTCTTATAAATAAAAGTGGAAATCTATGTTCATTTGCTTTTAGGAGAGATCTTTGACTAACCAAGTTGATTCAACAGACAGGTGTGCTTGGTTGAATCTGGCCCCCCAAGTATGTCCACATCCTAATCCCTGGAATCCATGAATGTTACCTTATATGGCAAAAGGGATTGTGCAGATGTGATTAAGAATCTTGAGATGGGGGGATTATCTTGGATTAGCTGGGTGGGCCCAATATAATGATGGCCCTTTATTACAGGGGGCCAGGGGGTCAGAGTCAGAGGACAAGGGGATGTGGTGACAAGAGGAGGAAGCATGCACTCTGAAGATGGAGGAAGCGGCCACTAGAAGCTGAGAAAGGCAAGGAAACACATTCTCCCCTCAGACACCTTAATTTTGGTTCTGTGAAACTGATTTTGGACTTCTGACCTTTGGAACTCTTAAGAGATTATGTTTGTGTTGTTTGAAGCCACTAAGTTTGTGATCATGTTATAGCGCCAACAGGACACGGACACAGACGTAACCATGATGAGGAGGGTCTTGTGATAGCAAAACTGTCCTGGAAAAGGATGCAGGAGGTGGGAGCAAATGAGGAATCAAGAGGCCCTGACCAGTGAGAGGCGATAGACGGGGGCGAGGTAAGGCGCAGGCGTAGTAATAAAGACAAGCTCCTCTAACATCTAACACGGTTGCTGGGAAGCGGACTGCGACGTAGTCTAAAGGCCACTGAGCTTCCATTAAGTCCCTCTCTGCCCAAAAGACAAGAGGCTTTGTCAAATGCATTCAACACACTGTCACCAGAATCTCTGGTTCAGGCAGGACCGGGCCCTGACTGAACACCTATTTCCCTTGGCTGGGCATGGGCTTAGTCTAAAAGCTAAAATGATGGAAAAATAAGGTTCTTGTCCTTAAAGAGCTTTTACCGTGTACGGTATAGTTCCCCAACCTTGGCACTACTGACACTTTGGACCAGGTGACTCTGCTATGGGGCTGTCCTGTGCACTGTAGGACATTTAGCTGCATCCCTGGTCTCTACCGAGAGGCCAGGAGCTACCCTCCCACCCTCCAAGTCATAACGACCAACAGCATTTCCAGAGGTGGCCAAATGTCTCGGTGGGGCGGGTGGAGGGGGCTGCAAATCTGCTCCCAGGTTGAGCACCACTGGTGTGTGGAGTACAGCAGGGAGTGACACAATAAAGCCGGCCTGGAACCGGTGAGAGAGGGTTTTGCTGAGTAGGATGCTCCTGTGAGACGGACAGGGAGGAAGCAGTGGGGGGTGGCAGGTTGTAAAATCAAAGGGAACAGCATGTGCAGAGCCCTGGGAGGTGAGGATGCAGCACAGGACACAGCCCGGAGGTGACTGGCAGTGACTGGAGGATAGTGATGCCTTAGCAAGAATGCCACCTACCCGTTTCCTGCTGGAGGCAGTGCACCCGTCTACTGGAGGTCTTCTCTGAACTCAGAGGTCTGCTGGCTTGCTCTGGGTGACTGAAAACTATACTGACTGGGTTTGGATTTTTACTTTGAGAGAATGAAAGGATGGAATTCAATCAACTCTCCAGCCTCGTTCCAGGACTTTCACACTTTATACAAATATATTTTGTGTTTTTTAAGAAAATTCATTGATATAATTTATATATCATAAAATTATCATAAACCCATTTCAATGAGTTTAAGTAAATGTACCGAAATAATCTACTTTTATAACACTCATCACCCCAATCTTTTGTTATTCTTAAGGCTGCCGGCCTAAGTGAGGAAGGAGAGTAGTAAGGGTCCCTCTGGCATGTCCTTAGCTGTCCACACACACTACGTGCTTCTTTCCTGTCGTAGCTTTCCCCTGTTGCCTGGGTGGGGGCTGCAGCAGCTGTGGAGATTTCTTCCTAAATCAAAGGTGCCTTCATATAAATAGATCCCTCAACGTGTGTGTGTGTGTGTGTGTTGTGTGTGTAAAAGCACTATTTACTTGGAAAGCCTCTCCTCATACAAACATGTTCAAACTCTCACTTCATGTGTCCTTTGTTATGAACAGCCAGGAATTACAGTAAGAATATTAGGGGATTTATATTCCAATGAACTTTTGCCTTGACATTCTAGTGGGTCACTGATCTTTATTAAAGAAGTGTGTGTGTGTGTGTGTGTGTGTGTGTGTGTGTAGAGAGAGAGATAAAGATTGTCTGGTACGATAACAAGTACATTAAGTATATATGTAATTTACCCTTGGACATGTTTAGAGAATAAATAAAGAGGCAGGGGCACCTGCAGGATCGGCCGGATTGTCTTAGCATTACTCCCTGCTCTCCAGCAGAGACCCCAGTTCTCTCTGACCCAACACCCAGACCTGCCATCTCTTCACTCTGTCACCGACAGGATCACATCCCCCTTGGTGTCTTCTGGGACTCCTCAGTAGCCAAAAGTGCACCAGCATTCCTCAGGGACTTCTTGCTTTCCTTGTAAGTCACACAGACAGTCTGTGATTTACATGCAAGTAAGGGGAAGGAGAAACACAGATGCCTTCCTTATGAACAGAGAGAACGAAGCCCTGCTTTCAGTCCCCATGGTGGAGTCTGTGGTGCTGGTGGAGGTTTGAGCTCTGGCGAAAGCTTTTCCCACACTGGCTGCACTGGTACGGCTTCTCCCCAGTGTGGATCCTCTGGTGCAGTTTCAGGGTTGACTGGCGCCCAAAGCAGTTCCCACATTCTCCGCATGTGTAGGGCCTCTCCCCTGTGTGTACACGCTTGTGTCTTTTCAGCTCCGAATTCCACGTGAAGCTTTTCCCACAGTCATCACATTTGTAAGGCTTCTTTGCTGAGCGGGTCGGCTGGTGACCAAGACGCTGCAAACGACTGCTCAGGCTCCTTTTGCTTCCTTTGCTTTTCTTCAGCTCTCTCAGTGGGTGGCTTTTCAGGGGGCTGCTGATGTATTCCAGTTCCCTGCAATGTCTCTGGTAGTGAGCGAATGGCTTCTGAGCATTCGGGGGGCTGACCTGCCTCCGTGACAACCGGGGTTCATTCATATTCGCCCCTCTCGGTTCAGGACTCTGCAGACCATTCCCTTTGGATCTGCCAGGGGACACTGCACATGGCTTTCCTCCTTTAGCCCCCTCTGGCTGTGGATTTTCCTTGTTGTCACTTTTCATTCTGGGGGCCTCTATAATCAGAAAGAATATGTTTCATTTTCTGGGCTTTGAAGAAAGCAGCTCAGCCAAAGAGCTAAGAAATACTCTCAAAGTGTGGTCCTCCACTAGCAACTTGCATTCGACTCATCTGGGCCACCTGTTAGACAAGCAGGCTGCCCCTGCATCCCCATGGCTGCTGAGTCAGAATCTCTGGGGAGGGGGGGTCCTGGAAATCTACATGGCTAACAGGCTCCTGGGGTGATAACTTATATCAATGTTAGGAACCAAGTTCTCCAACCCCATCTCTCCTTCCTACCTTTAGGGAAAGGTCAGGGAAAGAAGAAATATGGAAAAGCAAACCCATCAGACCTGAGTGTCAATTAACAAATGAAAAGAAAGGAGAGAGTTGAACTTTCAACATTGCAAATCTACTTGCTCACATGGACACTGATTGATCACCACTGTCTCTTCAAATAATGGGAAATCCAGCAAATGTGGCATGTTCTTTCTTCTCTTCATAAATGTGACAGCATTAGGGTTACAAACTGCAATATGGGCTAGACATGTATCCTAATTTCAGAAACTACAATTTCTGACCATGAGGATTGAGGATCAGGATGGAACCAAGCCGGAATGTTTGTGGGCAAGTTGGAGGATCTAGAGCTGTGTTATCCCACAGGATTCCTGCCAGGTGGGAAATGTGTGTGTGTACGTGAGCATGTGCACATACTATTCAACATGGCAGCCACTAGCCACATAGGGCCACTGAGTCCTTGAAATGTGGCTAATATGATGGAGAAAACTGAATTTTAAATTTTATCTAATTTTATTTCATTTTAATTCAGATTTAAATAAGCAGCCTATACAATTATGGTCAACTGCTTTTCAACAAGGTTGTCAAGGCAATTCAATGGGGGAAAGAATAGTCTTTTCAATAAAGGATGCTGGGACAACTGGATTTCCACATGCAAAAGAGTGAGGTTGGACCCCTGCCTCACAACACATACAAAAAGTAACTCTAAATGGATCAAAAACCTAAATAGAAGACCTAAATCAATGTCTCTTTGAACAAAACATAGGTGTAAATCTTTGTGATTTTGGCAATGGTATTTTAGATATGTCACCAAAACAAGCAAATTAACAGAAAAATAGATAAATTGGACTTGATCAAAATTAAAACATTTGTGCTTCAAAGGATCCTATCAAGGAAGTGAAACACAACCCAGGGTGGGAGAAAATACTTGCAAATTATATGTAGGGGTAGAGTATCCAGGATATATAAAGAACTCTTACAACAAAAGACTAACCCAATTTAGAGATGGGCAAAGGATCTGAATAGATATTTCTCCAAAGAAGATATACAACTGACCAATAAATACAAGAAAAGATGCTCAACATTATCTGCCATCAGGGAAATAAAACCTCTATGAGATATCACTTCACACCTAATGCGATTACTATAACCAAAACACCAACAACAAGTGTTGACAAGGATGTGGAGAAATTAGAGTCCTCACAGGGATTGCTGGTGGCGCAGCCACTTTGGAAAACAGTCTGGCATTTCCTCAAAAGGTTAAACAGAGAGCTAATGTCTGACCCAGCAATTCCATTCCTAGGTATACGCCAAGAGAAATGAAAACATATATCCACACAAAAACTTGTACACAAATGTTCATAGAAGCATTATTCATAACAGCCAAAAAGTGGAAATACCCCAAACGACCATCAACTGATGAATAAACAAAATGTCCATATAATGACGTATCAGCCGTAAAAAGGACGAAGGAGTGACACATGTGACAACATGGTTGAACCTTGAAAACCTTCTCAGTGAAAGCCAGTCAAAAAAGAGCACAACATATATGATTCTGAAATACCCACAATAGGCAAATCCAGAGACAAAGTAGATGGCTGTTGCCAGGGGCCGGAGGAGGGGCACCGGAGAATGACTGCCAAGGGGTCTGGGTTTCTTTTTGAGGTCATGAACATTTTTAAGAATTAGACAAATTGGGATGGTCACACGAGTGTGTGAATGTACTAAACACCACTGAAATGTATACTTCAAAGGGGTGAATCTTATAGTATGGGAATTATATCTCCATAAATAAAAATTAAATAGCCATTATGTGGACACTGGCAACTTACTGGGCAGTGCAGTTCTGAAGGAAGGCATTACTGGATCTTAGGGGTGAGGAACATGAATATCTACCTTTGGGGATCAAATAAAAGGAGATGGAGACTGCACGCACACTGAGCTGCCTACGATGAGCCAGGAAAAGGGAATGTGCGCGCTCAGGACCACAAAGCCCATAGGTTATGGGGCAGGACCTCAGCCAGGGTCACAGTGCTTTTCCGCTGGATGCCCCAGGTCTGCTCCATTCCTAAGTTCCAAGAATAACCAAACTGAAGTGTTTCACTGAATGTAGCAAACCTTAAGGAAATCAAGGCATTCCAGCCTTCTGTTAACATTCTCTAACCTGCTGACCATCCCCTCTACTCACATCACTAAGACTGGCCAAAGTGTCTCTGTTATTCAGTCTTAGAGATCACAGGACTGAGCACAGCAGGGCCAGCAATGACTGGCATTGTACCACAGACAGGGAAATGGACACAGGGTCTAAAGCACAGACAATGTCATAGGAGGAGGAAGAGGCAGAAAATAATACGGAGCAGGACTTTTCCTCTAATGAGTATAACATTCTTTAGGCCCCTTCTCAACATGGGACCATTTTAAGCTATGAAACAGCCACAGTTTGTATGCAAGTTCATCAGTGGTCATATGTGATCTGTCTTCACTACAAGAAGCTCTGAAGGGGACAGAGTAGATAATCCTGTTATGCACTGTCACTGAGTCATTAACAGATTGTCAAAGAGTCATTAACAGAAAATGATAAAACCATACTTTTTATATACACTGTCACTGCTATTCTAATCAATGAAATCTGTTAGGGAATAAAGATCTACTGTTACATAAAACATTAAAAAGCCCAACATGCAGTCTATGGTGTTTCAGAACCACAAGATGTTCTGATGGAGGTAAAGAACTTAGGAGAGGGAGAGAAGAGGCACAGAGTGTTTACCTGTGCCAGCCAATTTGGGGCTTGGTTCCTGAAGGAGTGGGGATTTTTCCCAATGATGAGAGCTCAGCTGATCTTGAGATCCTGCCTGGGATGGCTCCTCCAGAGAGCTCTCCCTGGGATACCTCCTAGGAGTTTGCAGTTGAAAGTCTGGCAGTTCCTGTTCTCCAAGCTGAGATCCAGTCTTCTCCAAGAGCACCTTCTGCCCCTGCATACAAACGGCCACCTAGGAACAAGCCCCATGCATTAGAGTGCAGCTCGAGGACTGACTGGGGGCAGCTTGACCTCTTACTGCTCTGTAATGATCCCTTTACCCTGGGAATTACCGACAACAGCCTGGAGGCCAACTTTGAGACTATGAAGACTCTCAAAGGTAGCAAAGGGAAGGACATGCAGAATGATTAAGGGGACTAATCCTAATCCATGGAGGCTGCTTCAAATCAGCCAAGACTTCCTGAGTGGTTAACTCTAAACGGGTCTTTCTCAGGGCCTCAAATTCATGAGAAGGCACAGATAACAGGGTCAGTCATGACACTAGCCTAGCAGATTCTCATCCTATGTCCATCCAGACACCCGATGTCTCACCCTATGTCCACCCTATGTTACCCACCCAGCAGATTCTATTGGAAACAGGCCCCATTGGATCACGAAGCATATGATGAGACCATTAAAAAACACCCACCCATACCTAATAAATTGTTCTGCCCAAAGCTTCCCTGATAAGGAGATCTCAGTAGTAGTAGGGCTAGGAGAGGACTGCCTACCCTGTTCCCTGACTGCCTCCATTCTTCAAAGCACATGGTTATTTGCTTCCTGCCTAGGCCCTGAATGGGGTCTGAATTGGGGGTGGGGGTTGGAAGAAATACTGGCCAAGTAAGTAAGCTGCAACTTCCTGATCCAAAGGGAAGACACGTCACCGAAGCAAGGTCCACCACGAAGTTCCCCCCAAATCATATTCCTACACAACAAGATGATCCTGCCTGCTAAGAATCCTGATTGTAGGAAAATTTCAGGAGGAATGGGTGTGGGGAGATGTGTGGGCAAAAATGCAAGGATCCTTGCACTTGATCCTTATCTTTCTCACTGGAGTGCTGGTGCCTGGGTTTTCTAAAAACCTGTTACATCTCCCAGGGGGGTTCCCAAATAGAGGCCAGAAGAAACATTTGAAGCCATCAGGTCCATTTCTAGACTCTGAGTAACTAGGAAGGGATCCAGAGACCAGATACTATCCAGATGAAAAAAGGCGACCACGAGAGAGGGGCCTCCTTACCCACTGCTTTGGTCTCTTGGCTGCTCTTTGAAAATCTTCCACCAGGGTCACAATCTCCTTGCTGCTCATTGGACATCGATGCCTGACCCGAGCCTGGATCTCCGGAGGCAGGATGTTCAGGAACTGCTCCAACACTAGCAGCTCCAAAATCTGTTCCTTCGTGTGCCGCTCGGGCTGCAGCCACTGCCGGCAGAGCTGCTGGAGCCGGGAGAGTGCCTCTTGGGGTCCAGACACCTCTTGATAACAAAACCGTCGAAAGCTCTGACGGGAGAGCTCAGGATCGGGGCGGTCTTTTTGCAGAGCGGGTTCCCGTTTGTCTTCCAGCTTTGTTATTATGTGTCTCTCTGGCTTGTTGGAAGCCTGAATGTGGGACTGAGAGCTCAAAGTTATCTCCATCTTAGCCGCCATCTTCGGGCTCAGGAGACAGGCTCTCTCTCCTCTGAAGCAGCTCAGGCCTTCAGGCTCATGGCTCTGCAGAAGTCTCTCTAAATGTCAGCAAGATGTTGCGGACAGCGGGGCACACACAGGCCCCAAGCTCCCGAGAACAACACACGGCCTGACGGTGAGGAGAGTCTGTCCCTCTGGCAGTTTCCTCAACTGTCTCGAAATGGAGCAAAGTCATAACGTCCTGAAAGGAACTGGAGGAAAATCCTGCTTTTATTTCATCGATAAACGCACGAGGACTCATAGGAATCGCGCAACGTGACCCAACTGGCGGTAGGGAAAGCCCAGGAAAAGTTCAAGTTGTCACACAGGTGGCCTGCGCCACCTCCCCGGCACCCGGGCGGCGCCGATCTCGAGCATCTCGCCGGGAGCTGCGGGCCAGGCGGCACGGAGAGCGCGGAAGCCCCCAGCTCGCAGCAAGGCAGGAGGAGTGCGGCGGCCGCTAGCTCCCGACACCCGGCAGGCCCGCCCGCTCCGGCCTCGGAGGGCGCCCCGGCGGCCCTCCAGCTGGGCGAAGCTGCGGCTCTCCGGCGCGCGGCTCAACTTCGCCGCTGCGTGCGAGCCCGGCAGGCTGACGCCTGAGGCGGCAGCGTCGCCGACCGCCCAGGACCGCGCGCCCACCTGCAGCGGACTCACCTCTCTGGGGACCTGGGACCCGGAACCCAGGAGCCAGGGCTGGGGGCGGGGCCGAGGCCTCTCGTTGCGGACACTCCCACTGGCTGAGGGGGAATGACGTGAAAAAGTACGGCGCAGGCGGGCCCGCCCTTCTCCTGGGGGATTGGCTCCCAGAGGGCGGTCTCTCGCGTCTATTTGCTGCTCAATCTGTCGATGCTGGCGAAGAAAGGCGACCGGCCTTTGCAGTGCACGCCGGGAGCTGTAGTTCAACGGCGCTGCTCGCGAGTATACGCAGGGGGGGACTAGCGCCGGGGGTACGAGGCGAGGCGGGGCGGGGCGGGGCGGGGCGGGGCGGGGCGGGGCGGGGCGGGGCGGGGCGGGGCGGGGCGGGGCGGGACGGGACGGGGTCGGTGTGAGGGGATGTCCAGAGGCTGATTTCCGGACCGGCGGCTGAGTGAATCGGGTGAGTGCTCTGCTCCTCGCGGCCGCGGGCTCGAAGCTGGGTCCGACGCCGTTTCAGGACTGTAGGTACAGGCGCGGGCGCCCACCGCACGCGCCCCGGCCCCTCGAACCCGCCAGCCCGGACTCCCTGCAGGCCGTGACCGTGCGGGTGTTCCCCACGCCGCTTCCGCCCCAGCTGCTGACCCTCGCTCCCAGCGAGCCGGCACGACTCAGGGCATCTCTACCGAGCGAGACGTGAACCAGCCCGGCTCCCACCCTCGTCCTGCTTTCCGCCGAGCGCCTGGGTCTTCGTCAGAGTGGAACGCGAGAGCAGCATTCTCAAACGAACGATGGACGGGATGTTAGCGGACAGTTGGAGCACAGGCTCCGTATTCCGCATGAAACTAGGATAGCATTTACTAAATTATTCTTCATCCGGATAAGGTGCAAATCTGCGGCATGGCATACATCTTCGAGGCCGGGGCCTTGCTGCTGAGGAGCTGTGGCGTGTGATGCTCCTTTTTTGTTTTTTTGTTTTTTTTTAAAGATTTTATTTATTTATTCATGAGAGACAGAGGGATTGAGAGAGAGAGAAGCAGAGGGAGAAGCAGGCTCCCAAGGAGCAGGAAGCCCGATGCGGGACTCGATCGCAGAGTCCTGGGATCATGACCTGAGCCGAAGGCAGATGCTTAACCATCTGAGCCACACCCAGGCGCCCTGATGCTCCTTTTTTGTTAAAAAGGACTGCTACCAGTAATGCCTTCCATTCCTCTATCTCTAGCCTCTTGGGCTGCATTATATGTAGAGATTATAAGTGAAGGCAGCTTAAGTTCTTTGGAAGAAGAGCAACCTGAATCCAGTTTTTTAAGTTTTTTTTTTTTTGGTGTGTTTTGTTTACTTGTGTGAACAGGCTCACTCCTTTGATGGAGCAGTGGAATGCTGAGTGACACAATTACAGATCGCTCCAGTCTTACATCCTCCCAATTCAGCAATTCCTAGGAAATTTGGAATTTCTCCCACCTCACCTTAGGTAAAACCTCAGAGACTTTTGAAAGGCTGTTTATGTCAGATACCTGCTCCTGTGGTGGGAGGGAAGGGTACTGTAATGAATAGCCCCACCAGACCCACTGGAGTTTACAGGGCCTCAATCACAAAGGAAGAAGATGCATTCTGAAGTAAGAAGGAATACTAGAAAATAAAAGCATACAGCAAACCAGTCATTTCTCATCCACACTGTGTGTGTGTGTGGTGGTGACAGAGGAAGGTATAATGATGAAGAGGTTAATCCAGAGGCACCTTACAAGAAGGTGGCAATTGGGAAGGTGGCTCCTGGCTTCCTGAGGGGAGGGAGGGGAGGGTACTAGACCCAAGAATATGGGGAACACAAGAAAGAACAGCCAGACTGCACTGTGAAAGTAGCTTGGGGAATACACGAGCAAACACCAATCTGGCTGTGGAGAAAACTGTTTTGATATTTCCAGCGGTTTAGATTCTGGGATTGTAGAGGGAGCCAAGGAAAAGGACAGAAAGTACATCACTAGAAGCAGAGGGAAGGAATATGACATCACTTTATGCTGTCTTTTTGCATTTCCTACAGCTTCCCTATCAGTCGTCGAGTCTTTTTCAGCTGTGATTCTGCACCACTAAGATATTCTAATGTTTCTCTGATTCCAGGAGGACTTTCACTGGTGTCCAGGAGAATGGCTTCCCAGTGATATGAGAAAAAAATGGAACCTGATCTACAGGGTAGAAGTGGCTGCCAGTCAGCCAGTTTGCTGAGGCAAATCATGGCTGCAACAAGGAATCCCCAGGCATACCCCATCCCCAAAAAGGACTGCTCCCAGGGACAGAAAGCCTTTCATGGCACCAACCCTGACTTGGAAGCTTCCCGCCAGCACTTCAGGCGGTTCTCCTACCAGGAAGTAGCTGGCCCCCACGAAGCTTTTAACAAGCTCTGGAAAGTCTGTTGTCAGTGGCTAAGTCCTAAGACACACTCAAAAGAGCAAATGCTGAAGCTGCTGGTTTTGGAGCAGTTTCTGACCATTTGTCAGAAGAGATCCAGACCTGGGTGAGGAAACAACATCCAGGAAACGGAGAGGAAGGTGTGGCTCTTGTTGAAGATGAACAGAGTGCATCTGGACAACAGGTGAGGAAAGGCATTCAGAACCTGGTGAGTTTTGTTATGAAGAACTGAGTGAGAAGCACAGGAATCTGGTTAGTGGAGAGGAACCAAGTTGAGCAATGCACAGTAGCCCTCTGTCACCCACCAGAAACTATGAGCTAGCTTGGGGTGCTCCCCTGCCCTTCATCTATGGGGAGAATTTCTCATTTACTACAATAACATAGACACTGATATATTCAGTGAATGTTTACGGTCCCTAATACAAATGTAAAACCTCAGAATAGTTCCCAACAGAAGGCCAGGGAAAGGACAACTATCCCTCACGCAGGGAATCAGGAAAATTAGAGTTGCTGAATTAAAATCCAGTGTCTCTTGTGGAAAGGTTCCTTGAGTGCAGGATGCCATGTGCTATACACAAAATAATGTTGTATTAGAGCTGTTCCTGCTGCCAGGATTAAGGGGTCAGTATGGGATAGTGATGAGTTTCACAAAGTATGCACTTGTCCAGTTAGGGACTAGGTCTGACATCTGGTCAGTGTAATGATCTTGTACATTTTGGGAGAAGGGAGGTGTGACAGGCACAGGAGAAGGAACGTGGCTTTGGTTGTGGGAGATTTGTGGGAAGAAAGCAACTGAGATCCCAATCCCAAGTCTGGGAGAGGCACAGACTAAAGGAGGAGTGTGGGTCAGAGGGACGCTGTAGACTGAGCGGCTCTGTGGTCAACAGGAAGCAGCTCACTGGGTGCGGAGACTGCATGACTGGAACGGGAGATGCTGGTGTCCCCAGTGAGGAGGCAGACATGTCCTCGGGCAGCAGGGGGAAGAGTGGTGTTGACATAATGTGGAGAAGGCAGAGCTGTGTGGTGGGGACACTTTGGGGTCCAAGCTGAGGAGGTTCATGAAGGATCCATGAGGTTGGGATAATTAATAACACCTAGGAGGGGGCAGAGAAGGGCAAGCAGTAGCACATGTATGGAGTTAGAGACTGGACAGGAGAATAGCGGGAGCCCCTACATGCTGGTAGGCATCCTGCTCCAGGCCCCCTTGCCCTCTCTCTGTGGGGAGGGTCTCTCCCTTGTGGCCCCCACCATTTCAGAGCCAAGGTCTTAACAGGAATGCAAAGTGTACAGGAGTGTAAGCGTTGAAAGAGCTACGTGAAACCTGCCTGGGATGTGAAGCGCAGAGCAAGAAGTAGAGGTGAGCAAGAAGTGGAGGTGACAGGGAGCAGTGCAGTTTGGTAGCATGTGTCAGGACACCCAGCTGCATCTCCCTACCACCCCTTGGTCACCAAGGACCAGTTAGAAGCTTGGGATGCAAGGGATGCAGGTGGCTCTGAGACACACAAGTAGCTCGGAGGAGCCTGCCACGTGCCACATATTGGTTGGGGATTTCACAGTGAACATGACAGGCGTGGTCCTTGGCCTGCAGGAGCCTACACTCCGTGGGGGAAACGGACAACAGGCAAAGGAAGAAAGCTACTTTGCGATAAGTGCTCTACAGGAATGAGCAGGCTGACGTGCTGGACAAGGACCGCGGGGCACCAGGAAGCCGGCACGGCCTCTCCAAGGGGAAATTCACAGTACTGTACGATCACCACCTCTGCCCAGTTCCAAAACATTTTCACCCCCAAAAAGGAAACCCTGTACCTATTAGGAAGATACTCCTCATTCTCTTTCGATTTGCATTTTCTGTGAATTGTAGAAAGGGTATCCTACAAAACATGACTTTCCTTGCCGGCCTTCCCTCACTGAGCAGGTTTCAAGGCTGTTATTACTACTTCGTTCCTTTTCACGTCTGAATAATCCATTGCAGGGACGGACCAAGGCTCTGTCTTTATACACGTCTTCCAGTGAAACACTGTGGCTGCATACATTTAAAGACGGCCCACAGCCACTGCTGCCTTTTATGGCTGCCTTTTATGCTTAATTGAAAGCTTCCATTATAGGGTGCTCAGTAACTTTTACTTTATTTTTAAAATCTTACTTATCTAAGTAATCTCGACACCTGACATGGGGCTCGAACTGACAACCTCAAGATCGAGAGCACATGCTCTTCTGACTGAGCCAGCCAGGCATGCCTGCTCCGTAACCTTTAAAAGTCAGCTCTTGTGTCACCTGGGTTCCTCAGTTGGTTAAGCAAGGGCCTTCAGCTCAGTTCATGATCCCGGGTCCTGGGATCGAGCCCCGCATCGGGCTCCTTGCTCAGCAGGGAGCCTGCTTCTCCCTCTCCCTCTATCTGCTACACCAACGCTTGTGCTCTCTCTCTCTGTCAAATACATAAATTAAAAATCTTTAAAAAAAAAAAAGCTCTTTATTTAATCCAAATTCTATAGGAAAACATGACATGTTCACACTCTGTACGTTGGCTAACTTCGGTTGTGTCTAAGAGGTGTATTTGCTGTAATGTTTTCTACAGATGAAACAATCAGTATCAGTGTATATCTTAGCATTTACTTCTTTTTAGTCCCTGGGAACATCACTGCTCTCTGGTGTGTGGTTTCTGAGGCTCTGGGGTTGAATGTGAAGGGGGGTAGGACTCACCGTGTGCCCAGTTCCGCTGCTGTTGCTCACCCTGGTTTCGGGCTCCTCAGATCCCTAGTACTGTAAACTCCTCAGAATCACAGACGTGTGTGTGTCCCCCGAGGTTCCGTTAGTAAGTCAAAAAAATGAACCACTTCCTTACTAGAATTCTTGCAGATGGATTTCTGGGACAGAATATATTATGCTGGCCTGAAAAAAATGAAAGGCTTGAGTTACTGTGGTATCTTTAGGACTACTAGGGTCATCTCTAGGTGGTGGGGCTCGAGCTTTATCTAGAATGTGCACATGAAACATTTTTTTTCTATAATGTGCATATACTACTTTAGAATGAAGCAAGTTTTTGTTTTTGTGTTTTTTTTAAATAAACAGCTATTATGCCAGCAATCTGCTGAAAGGAGCTTCTCGCCACCCAGAGGCCACTGGCGCTGGCTCAGACGCACCTGGGGGGCATGTTCGGGCACATCCCCAGAGCTTCAGATAGAGTGGGTGCAGGTGGGGCCCAGGAATATGCGTTTGTGACAGGTTACCGGCGCGGCTGGCCTGTGACCCCACTCAGCCCCTGCTCTGTGGCAGCCGCCACAGAGGCCGTTTTCTCCCCAGCCTGGCTGATGGCGCAGGCTCCCAGGAACCTTTCCCAGAAGAGGGGTCTTTGAGACCAGGAGACTGTGTGTTGGGCAGCTGGGGCCCAGGTGAGCTGTGCTTGATGCCCGTTGTCTCCCGAGGTTCCCATTTCACTCTTCGCCCCAAGCCCCTTCTTACCAGGGATGTTAGAAAGATCATGAGGTCCATCCCCTGGCCGTCCCTTGCATTGTCGTCTGTCCATCTGGCATCTCCACATGGCTCTGTGCTCACCCTGGTGCTTCCCTCGGAGGCCTGACCTTCCTGCCTTGCTTTGCCCGCATCTGATGCCAGTGGTCCTGTCTCTGCCCCACGCCAGGCTGGAGCGGTGCTACTTTACAGGCAGCAGCAGCCCCCGGTGTTGTTACAGGGACCAGTCACGTGTGAGGACAGAGCCATATCCCTCTGTCAGGAAGGACAGACACTCTTTGGCCCTACACAGAGGGCCCTCTACAGGGGCGTCACTCAGAAGAACGACGAAGATCACTCTCTGCGTAAGGATGCCCATTCCCTCAGGGCCAGACTGTCTGTGTTCCTGTCTTCAGAGAGAGACGCAGACCGGAAGACCCGAGAAAGGAGGAGACAGAGGCAGTGGAGACTGTTGGGTGGAGGGAGGGAGATAAAGAGGAAGAGTCTAAGAGCAGGCACGACACACAGAGACTGCAAGAAAGGGAAAGCAAGACACCAGAGGGCTCAGGACAGGGTGGACAGCACGTGTGACAGCGAGCGGGAACAAGGGAGGGGCGAGACACGGAAAGCAGTGGGGACAGAGCGTGGCAGGTAGAGCATGGCACTGGGGGACAGCCTGCAGCGAAGGAGACACGGCCTGTGGGAAGAGCAGAGCGACGTGAACGCACACGTGCTCGCGCACACAGCGGAGACCGACCTGAGGGGCAGCGGGCACTCGAACGGAGCCAGCGTGCTTATGTGCCCAGGCCGTCGGGGGGCAGCGGGCCCTTTCAGACCTCAGACCATTAGAGCCACACTCCGTCAGGGACTCCCCCACCATGGACACAGGCGAGCATCACACTTACCGTGAGTCAGCTCTCAGGACAAATGAGTGGGATTCAGGATAAAGAGAAACAAAAGGGCAGCTTTGGTAAATATTCCACAGCCCCTTCTCCGTCAGAGAGGATGCCCTTCCCACTACGCCGAGCGTCTGTGTTTTAGGAAAGAAGCCCACAGTGGGGTAGCTTCCCAGGGATGACAGCACACAGCTGTGGCAGAGCCTGACAAACCGGCACGCAACTTCCTGAGCTGCTAACCCGGCCGTGTGGTGTGCAGGGCCCTGTGGTCTTATCGTGTGTCCCCTGGCCCCGGGCAGCAGGTGTACACTGGGGCGACGAGGAGACCGAGACGCTCCTGGCCACCCTGTGGGATGCTCAGCATCATGAGGAACTCCAATTCGTGAGCACAGCCAGGCCTACAGGGCAGTGGCAGGACGACTCCGGGAGCAGGGCTTTCTGCGGACCCCAGAGCAGTGTCGCACCGAGTTCACCAGCCTGCCGTCGAGGTACCACAAGGGGAGGGCAGGCCATGTGCCTGAGCCATGTGTCCTTTATGAGGCAGCGGATGCCCTGTCAAGCTCCCGGGCCTCTGCACCCACGGTGGCAAGCCGTGCTGTTCCTGGCCAAGAGGGAAGGGCTGCAGAGCCCAGAGAGCTGAGTCAGCAGAACGGGGAGCCCACAGAGGTCGGAGAAGGGGCCTGCCTGGGCGGATGGTGCAGCCGGGGACAAGCAGGACTTCCGGGATCCTGGCCGGGAAGGTAGGAGACGTGACCTGCCAGTCTTGTTCCCACACAGAGCTGGTGGAATTCTTGGCTCTGACAGCCAAGGGACAGGGACGTCCCCCCAGTGGCCATCAGCCCAGCCATCAAGAGGGATCTGCCTCTGCCGCTGGCATGCTCACTGCCCTGATGGACGGCCTGGCACGGGCCCGGGAGGCCGGCTCTCGGTGTGGAGGCTTTCCCCTTGCCCTTCAGAGCCCAGGCCCACATGTGCCAGCCTCCTTCACAGAGTACGTGGCGTTTTTCCTGTGCGGCTCCCTTCCTCGGCTTCCTCAGACTGCCAGAGGCTCCAGCCCAGACTCTCTCCCCTGCCCTCCTGCTCCAGCACCACCCCACCCTCCTTTCCTGGCCTGAGCGTGTGCTGGCCACGTCGTGGCCACACGCTTACCTCTCATTTCAGCCAAGCTCAGGGCAGCCTGTTGTTACTCAGCTGCCGGCGGCAAGGCCGTCAAGAGTTGAGGTGAAGCCTGGAGACAGACTGGCAGATGACACAGAGCTAGCCTCTCGGCCTCAGACGTGTCACTGTCTTAACATCCAAAAAGAGACAGTACGGGGCGCCTGGGTGGCTCAGTCAGTTAAGCGTCTGCCTTCGGCTCAGGTCGTGATCCCGGGGTCCTGGGATCCAGCCCCGTGTCAGGGTCCCTGCTCAACGGGGAGCCTGCTTCTCCGTCTCCCTCTGCCTGCTGCTCTGCCTACTTGTGCGTACACTCTCTCGGGGTCAAATAAATAAAATCTATTTTAAAAAAAGAGAGATGGTATAGGACAGTAGGTGGAATCTAGGGGCAATTTTCCCTTGACCACAGGGTTTGGAGCTTGAAAGTACTACAGTCGGAGAATGAAACTAGGCTAGTACTTAGCAGAAAGCTGAATCCCATGAGGAATTCCATTTAGGGGGTTTCTGGGTGGCTTAGTTCGTTAAGCATCTGCCTTTGGCTCAGGTCATAATCCTGGGATTGAGCCCCCATGTCGAGCTCCCTGCTTAGTGGGGAACCTGTTTCTCCCTCTCCCTCTCCCTCCCTGGTGCACGCACCTGATTTCTCTCTTTCTCCAATAAATAAGTAAGATCTTTTTAAAAAAAGAAAGAGGGTGGGCGCCTGGGTGGCTCAGTTGCTTAAGCGACTGCCTTCAGCTCAGGTCATGATTCTGGAGTCCCGGGATTGAGTCCCACATCGGGCTCCCTGCTTAGCAGGGAGTCTGCTTCTCTCTCTGACCCTCCCCCGTCTTGTGCTCTCTCTCTCATTCTCTGTCTCTCAAATAAATAAATAAAATCTTAAAAGAAGAAAGAAAGAGGGCACCTGGGTGGCTCAGTCGTTGAGCGTCTGCCTTTGGCTCGGGTCATGATCCCGGAGTCCTCGTATCGAGTCGTGCAGAGGGCTCCCCACTCTGTGGGGAGCCTGCTTCTCCTTCTGACTGCCGCTCCCCCTGCTTTCTCTCTCTGTCAAATAAATAAATAAAATCTTTAAAAAAATAAAAAAGAAAGAAAAGA